GATATTGCTGAATTTGTAGCTAAATGCCTAACTTGTCAACAAGTCAAGGCAGAACACCAAGTATCAACAGGATAACATCATCCACTTCAGATTCCATAATGGAAATGGGAAAGGGTGACTATGGATTTTATAATAGGACTTCCACTTACCCAGAAGAAACATGATGCAGTTTGGGTTATTTTGGATAGATTGACGAAGAGTGCTCATTTCCTACCTGTAAGATCAAACTATAGTTTAGAGAAATTGGCAGAAATATATATTGGTGAAATAGTTAAGTTACATGGAGTGCCAGTATCCATTGTTTCTGATAGAGATCCAAGATTCATATCTAGATTTTGGACTAGCTTACAGAAAGCCCTGAGCACTAAATTGAGTTTTAGTACTGCATTCCATCCTCAGACAGATGGTTAATCTGAGAGGATTATTCAAATATTGGAGGATATGCTTCGAGCTTGTGTTCTTGAGTTTGAAGGTAGCTGGGATAAATATTTGCCTTTGATGGAATTTGCCTTTGATGGTAATTTCTGCTATGAATAATATTACCAGACAGTATCGGAATGCCTCACATATTGAAGCTGTTATTGGTAGAAAATGTAGGACACCCCTATGTTGGGATTTTGAAGTTGTGAAAGACAATGCTAGCGTCCTAAAATATTCAACAAGCAGAAGAAAAATTCAAAGTAATTTTAAAGAAATGATGAAAGCAGCTGCAGATTTAGACAAAGGTCATATGTGGATCTAAAGAAGAAGAGATATAGGTATAATGTGCGGGATAAAGTATTCCTTAAGTTTTCCCCTTTGGAAGCGTGTTATTGAGATTGGTTTAGAAAGGGGAAATAAGTCCTCGCGCTTCATAAGATCCTTTATTGAAATGACTTGAAGGGAATTGGTCCATTAGCCATATAGGTTAGCCTTACCACCAGAACTCGATAAGATTTACATAATGTTTTCCATGTTTCTATGCTTTGGAGGAGATATAGATCGGACCCTTCACATATATTGGCCTTTAGAATCAATTGAAGTTAATCGCAGACTTTAACATATGAATGAAGAAAACCAGTGGGTATCATAGCTAAGGAAGTAAGAAACTTCTGTAGTATACTTAGTAAGCATTTATAAGAAGTAAGTGCTTATTAAGTATATTACGGGCGACATGCCATGTCTTACAGTAAGGTAAGGTGTGACATGTTTAATTTGGTATCAGAGATCTATAATAGGTAAAATTTCGAGAGGAAATTTCTTTAAGGAGGGAAGAGTTGTAATATCCTCATCCTCAACTTTATAGTTCTTGCTATTCTAGCTTTTTCGATGAATTCGGTTATCCGAATGAAAGGAAAACCTAGAATAATGAGAAACACTATATATTGAGCATGTGAATATTAATTAAATGGTAATTAATGTGATTACAAATCAATTTGAAAGATTAAAGGAAATAAAAAATAAGGTAAAGAGGAATGACTTCTTAGTAAAGCACGATTTTACCCGGAAAGCTCGAAAAACGGTAATTTGAGTATGACTTTTCTTAAGTGAGGTTTAGAATATTAAATACACTTGGTTGATGGTTGATACCTAATAGGACTAAAGTAAAGTGATTAAAAAGATTAGAGTGCGAAAGGATGAAGGGAAAACAAAAGGGAGGATTATAGTGCATTTAAAGGACATGGAAGGAATTTTTAATAATATTTATTATATATTTTTATGAACAGATAGAGATAAACCACGACATTTTCACCCATTTTTGCAGTCCAAGTCGTTCAAGAAGAGAAGAGGAGGGTTTTGATTAAAAACCAAGCAAAAAGGAGTTAAAAATCAAGGAATTTTCAAGTAATTCTTAAGAAAAGGTTAATTATCTTCACTTCCTCCTTCTTTTCTATGCATTAATTTTTGAATTCCATGAACTTTGAAGTGAGGTTCTTGCTTGTTCACTCTGATTTGGTGAAGATGAAGTGATTAGAATTGATTTTAAGGTGATTTAAGATGATTGAAATTAGTTATGCATGAATTCAAAGTAAATTAGTTATGGCCATATGAATTCAAAGTCTGAATTTTGCTAAATTCACCAAGATGGATGTGTTGAGTTGTAATTTGATTATTTCATGAACTAAGGCGATTCTGGACTGTATCTTATATTAAGTAAAATAGAAAGTTGGATGCATGCAACTTCGATGAAAGTGACTTTGAGAATAGCTTAAGCAAATATAATCATTGTTGGACTTTTACATTTAGGGCTGCCTGAAATTGAGCTTCTGTAATTGACCATCTTTGACTACGCAAATGGTAACTGAAAATTCAGAAATTTTATATGGAGATTAGGCTGAGATGTTAGGGTAGGTCACGTTGGGGGCCATTGGATAGGAGGTTATAATTAATCTGCAGGGCTGTCGCATAGATTGTTCAATTGCTATAAATATGTCATTTGACACAATTGCAAAATGAGCTTTAAATTAATGTTATTTGCGAGGCCGTCTCTAGTTGGGACTGCATGTAAAATTCCGGAATGATATGAGGGAATTCAATTTAAGTCTGGAATGCAGCTCATCAAATGCTGATTCTGCACTTTTTGATTTAGCTGCATTGACTTCTATTGTATTTTAATTGTTATTATAATGTTTCATAGGGATGTGGTTGTGGAGTTGAATGTTTTCATGGCTAAACAAAGGTCTAATGACACCTTGACAGCGTGAAAATGAAGACAGCTGACCTCTTCTATGTCTTTGATCCTTATGGTGCTTGTGCTTGTATGTATGGACAATAATTGTCATGAGGTACTTAATCTTCATGCTACAAGCTTCTCGAGGAAAAGCGCGAGCTCGAGCGAACCTGAGTCCCGGTGGTATTTGTCTTTACCGTAAGGACAGTAAGTATCAATTAGGCGCCCAATATAACTCGTTGAGCCTGTTTAGGCCAGTCAGATCCCTTCTCATATCTGTTATATTAGGAACTCCTTTCTGACTGTACTGATTCCTTTCTCCTACTTTTTATTTTAAACAAAAATTGAAATTGATTTTGCAAAATATTTTCCATAGGATTTTGCTTTATGTATATTTCCCATGAGTTCTCATCACAAACCCATACCATTGATAATACTTATGGCACATTCATTTGTGATTTTTCATAAGTCTTTTAGCAAACTGCACAGTAAATATATAATATTAGTGATTTCATAAGTTTTTAAAGAAGAAAAAGATTGTTTTGAAAGCATACGACCTAATGACATATGTAAATGAATTTTATGATTTTTATATCTTGAAAGAGGAGGATGTTGGCCAATTGATACTTGTAGGACGAGGGGTGGCCGTGATTGAATGTTTTTACCAATGTTTGTGAGATGAAATGTTGTCCATTGTGATTTTGATATTCTTACATAAATAGAATGGTTTAAAAGTCTTACAGCTGATATAGATATGGTTATTAACCCGAATATCACTTCATTTGTTGAAGATGATATTACGATCGATTGAACATGGATATCATCACTAGATGATATATGATTGATATGAAATTCTCCCTCCCATTATATGAAATTCTCCCTCTCCAGTGTTAGGTTTGCTAGATAGCTAGGTGCTTAGATGTGCACCATCTGAGATCAATGATGGCCCTCAGTAATTGAACTCTATAAAAGCTGATATAACGGACTGTTTTCATGTCATGAATTTTATTTGATCCTCTAACATGCTATTGTCATTCTTCTTTCTTATTTCCTTGTAACATGGGTGCGGTTTTATCTGAAGGTTTATGAATTATGATTCATTATTTTCCTATAAAGAGTTTGATTTGATAAATTTGTGTTTGTTTTATAATAGTACACCACTAAGCAAAATGCTTAGGGATAGTTGCTTTTGTGCTATCGGAGGAAAAGGAAAGGAAAAAGAACTAGGAGAGGATCGTTTTTATTTGATGTAGATAGTATGCTACTGATGAAGCTATTGTATATTTGACTTCTTTTGGAATATGTATGATGTATTAAACATTAACAAAACATTTATGTATATTTGAGCAGAAACACGTAAATTATGATTGTATGAATTTGAAAGTTTATATTCTATTAAAGTAATTAACTTCTATTATGTATCTAATGTTTGAAAAGGACTCCAATATGTAATTGAATCATCCATGGGCTTATGGTTTATGGAACCATTTTATGTTCTTGATAATGTAATTAATGAATTCATCCGCATGGGCTTATCGGTTTAGGGAACCATTTTATTGTTCTTGATAATGAACCATTTTATGTTCTTGATAATGTAATTGATGTTTAAGAAATCATATTGAGCTTAATAGAAGTTATGTTTCATATGTCTAGTAAATTACGGAAAAAGACAATTCTTTATAACAGGTGAAAGAACCAAAGGGAGTTTTACATTTAATAACTAAATTTACTTTTCTACAGGTTATAAATGAATAAATCCAAAGTTTTAAGTCCCTTGGAGTATACTTAGTAAGCATTTATAAGAATTAAGTGCTTATTAAGTATATTACGGGCGACATGCCATGTCTTACAGTAAGGTAAGGTGTCTTACAGTAAGGTAAGGTGTGACATGTTTAGTTTGGTATCAGAGCGTGGTTAATTGCATATTGGATCATATTTTTGCTGAATATAAATGTGAAATGTAATATGCTCAAATATGAAATGACTGTTAATTATTGGATATCTACATCATACATTATTCTAATAAAATGAATGTTTTTCCGTGATAGTATACAGAGAGCATTTTGTTTTTGATAGATAGTATGGAGGGTGTTGGTTAGGGAGATAATTTTAATCCTCCTGAGGAGCAGTCCCTCCTGAGGAGCAGTCTGATGCGAGGCAGGGAGAGATTGGTGATGCTCCCGAGGGTTCTGATGTCCCTGTTGCGCCAGCTGCTGACCCTATAGCCCAGCAGATGGTTGCTTTATTGAGACAAATGGCAGGTAACTTACAGCAGCAGCAGCAGCCAGTTAGACAGTATGATAAGTAGGTTAAGTATGGGGCCACAGAGTTTTTAGGCACCACTGACCCGATGGTAGCTGAGCAGTGGCTGAAGAGGATTGATAGGGTTTTCTTAAAGCTCCAGTGTGATGATGCTTGGAAGTACGATTATGCAATCTCTTTACTTCAGGAGGATGCATATGAGTGGTGGAAGACATTTCCTAGGAGCAGAGTGCAGCCACCAGTTCTGACTTGGGCAGACTTCTTGGGAGAGTTTAGGAAAAAGTATGTTCCATCTACCTATATGGATGCCAGGATAGAGGAGTTTCTGCAGCTCGGATAGAGGAGTTTCTGCAGCTCAGACAGGATCATAGGACTGTAGCTGAGTATGAGAGGGAGTTTACTCGGTTGAGCTATTATGCTGGGAGTATGTAAGTTACAGGCAGGGACAGGTGCAAGAGATTTGAACAGGGATTGAAGCCCAGTATTAAGAGTCATGTGATCAGCTTTTAACATGAGAATTTTTCTGCATTGGTATCACAAGCTCTGAATTAGGAGAAGGTTGATCAAGAAAAGGCTACAGAGAAGGAGAAGAGTGTCAGGAGGACTTTCCCTGGGGCTAGTAGCTCTAGTAGCAAGAAGAGGAGATTCTTTGGTTCATTTCCTCCTAGACCTAGCAGTGTGAGGCCACAGAGCAGTGTGAGCCACAGAGCAGAGGCAGTTCAGACCACCATGCCCACCCTCCACGGACTCGCTCCACGTTACTCGTAGTTGTGTTCATTCTGTGGAAGGATATTTCATGGAGGAATGTGTAAGTGACCAACGTGGAGGCCATGTTTTAACCTGTGGCCGAGGGTGGACACTTTGTGAGGATTGTCCTAGGACGAGAATGACGTATTGGCATATGCTTGCCACAGAGGATCTATCAAACCACTGCTAGTATGATCTCTCAGTCTGCAGCAGAGGTAGGGGCAGAGTAAAAGACCAGCTGCTAGTTATGGATCTTCTCAGTCTGCAGGCAGAGGTAGGGGCAGAGGTAGAGGTAGCATATCGGGTAGTCAGGGGACAGTGAATCAAACAGAGCCTATTGGTGTACCAGCTAGAGTTTATACTATGAGGCAAAGGCAAGATGACGATTCAGCTGATGTAGTGGCTGGTATATTTTCTTTATTTAATCATGATGTTTATATGTTGTTTGATCCTGGATCATCTTACTCTTATATTAGTGCTGGGATTTCTTGTTATGCATCTGTTCCTTGTTTGAGATTGGGTTATGATGTACTTGTATCGAGTCCATTAGGGCAGGAGGTTATTGCTAACAAATTATATCATGATTGCCCACTCGTGATCCAAGGTCATGTATTCCTTTCTAATTTAGTTGAGATGCCCTCCAGAGATTTTGATGTTATTTTGGGCATGGATTGGTTAAAAAAATTTCAAGCAGTGGTTGATTGTGACCTTAAGAAGATTATATTTAAACTACCAAAATATGTAAATGTGGTGATACAGGGCGGGAGACAGATACTTCCTTCATCTGTGATCACTACAACTTTAGCTCAGAAATTGATCCGTCAGAAATTGATCCGTCATGGGTGTGAGGCATACCTAGCTCACATGGTTGACACAAGGGTAGGTACTCCTAATCTTAAGGACATTCTTACTATGTGTGACTTTCCAGATGTTTTTCCAGAAGAGTTACCAGGATTGCCTCCAGAAAGGGAAGTTGAATTTGAGATTGAGGTTATGACAGGGACTCAATCGATCTCCATTACTCCTTATAGGATGGCTCCTGCTGAATTAAAAGAATTGAAAGCACAATTACAGGAGTTGCTTGATAAGGGGTTTATTCGCCCTAGTGTGTCACCATGGGGAGCTCCAGCCATGGGGAGCTCCAGTGCTAATTTGTAAAGAAAGAAAGATGGCAGTTTTACGGTTGTGCATCGATTACCGCAGTTGAATAAGGTCACAGTCAAGAATAAGTATCCTTTGCCAAGGATTGATTGATGATCTCTTTGATCAGCTTAAGGGTGCTTCTGTATTCTCTAAGATAGATTTGAGATCGGGGTATCATCAACTCAGAGTTAAAGAGTAGAGTATTCATAAGACGGCATTCAGGACTCACTATGGCCATTATGAGTTTCTAGTTATGCCATTCGGATTAACTAATGCTCCAGCAGCATTCATGGATTTGAGGAACACGATCTTCAGACCTTACCTTGACCAGTTTGTTGTGATTTTTATTGATGACATTCTAATATATTCCAAAGATATAGAAGAGCATGATAAGCATCTAAGAATTATTTTTCAGACTCTTTGAAAAAAGCAACTTTATGCTAAGTTTTCTAAATATGAATTCTAGTTAGCACAAGTTACTTTTCTTGGTCATATTGTATCTGCAGAGGGTATTGTAGTGGATCTTGGTAGGATAATTCCTCTCATGTGGTTTAAGTTGGTGTGATGCATAAGGAATAACATTTCTATCCTGCATCAACACACAACCTAATCCATTATAAGAAGCATCACTATAAACAGTAAACTCTTTACCTGGAAGAGGTAAAGTCAAAATTGGAGCTTCAGTCAAACACTTCTTCAACTTAGCAAAGCTCTCCTGACATTTATCTGTCCATTCAAATATAACGTTCTTTCACAATAGTTTAGTTAAGGGCAAAGCAATGATAGAAAATCCCTTAACAAACCTGCGATAATAGCCAGCCAAACCCAAGAAACTACGAATCTCGGAAACATCGGAAACATTCTTTGGTGGCTTCCAACTGGAAATAGCCTCAATCTTACTAGGATCCACTGCAATACCCTCTGCAGATACAATATGACCAAGAAAAGCAACTTGTGCTAACCAAAATTCACATTTAGAAAACTTAGCATAAAGTTGCTTTTTTCGAAGAGTCTGAAAAATAATTCTTAGATGCTTCTTATGCTCTTCTATATCTTTGGAATATATCAGAATGTCATCAATAAAAATCACAACAAACTGGTCAAGGTAAGGTTTGAAGATCGTGTTCATCAAATCCATGAATGTTGCTGGAGCATTAGTTAATCCGAATGGCATAACTAGAAACTCATAATGGCCATAGCGAGTCCTGAATACCGTCTTAGGCATACTCTGCTCTTTAACTCTGAGTTGATGATACCTCGATCTCAAATCTATCTTAGAGAATACAGAAGCACCCTTAAGCTGATCAAAGCCTTGATCAAAGAGATCATCAATCCTTGGCAAAGGATACTTATTCTTGGACTGTTGGACCTTATCAACTGGCGATTAATCGATGCACAATTCATAAACTGCCAATTCTCTTCTTCTTTACAAATAGCACTGGAGCTCCCCATTGGTTGACACACTAGGGCGAATAAACCCTTATCAAGCAACTCCTGTAAACTGGCTTTCAAATTCTGTTTAATTTCAGCAGGAGCCAATAGGAGCCATCCTGTAAGGAGTAATGGAGATCAGTTGAGTCCCTGTCATAACCTCAATCTCAAATTCAACTTCCCTTTCTGGAGGCAATCCTGGTAACTCCTCTGGAAAAACATCTGGAAAGTCACACACAGTAGAAATGTCCTTAAGATTAGGAGTACCTACCCTTGTGTCAACAATGTGAGCTAGGTATGCCTCATACCCATTACGGATCAATTTCTAAGCTAAAGCTGCAGTGATCACAGATGAAGGAAGTATCTGTCTCCCGCCCTATATCACCACATTTACACATTCTGGTAGTTTGAATATAATCTTCTTAAGGTCACAATCAACCACTGCCTAATATTTTTTTAACCAATCCATATCCAAAATAACATCAAAATCTCTGAAGGGCATCTCAACTAAATTAGAAAGGAATACATGACCTTGGATCACGAGTGGGCAATCATGATATAATTTGTTAGCAATAACCTCCTGCACTAATGGACTTGATACAAGTACATCATAACCCAATCTCAAACAAGGAATAGATGCACACTAATATAAGAGTGAGATGATCCAGGATCAAACAACACATAAACATCATGATTAAATAAAGAAAATATACCAGCCACTACATCAGCTGAATCGGCATCCTACCTCTGCCTCATAGTATAAACTCTAGCTGGCACACCAATAGGCTCTGTTTGATTCACTCTCCCCTCACTACCCGACATGCTACCTCTACCTCTACCCCTACCTCTGCCTGCAGACTGAGAAGATCCATAACTAGCAGCTAGTCTTTGAATAGATCCCTCTGTGGCTGCATATGCCGTAGTCATTCTCGGTCTAAGGCAATCCCTCACAAAGTGTCCAACCTCGCCACAGTTAAAACATGCTCTTGTGGTCAACTTACACACTCCTCCATGATATCTACCACCACAATGATACCACAATGAACACAACTACGAGTAACTGGAGGAGCTCGTGGAGGTGGCAATGGTGGTCTGAACTGCCTCTGGCTCTGTGGCCTCACACTGCTAGGTTTAGGAGGAAATGAGCCAAAGAATCTCCTCTTCTTGCTACTAGAGCTACTAGCCCCTGGGAAAGTCCTCTTGACACTCTTCTCCTTCTCTATAGCCTTTTCTTGATCAACCTTCTCCTGATTCAGAGCTTGTGATACCAATACAGAAAAATTCTCATGTTCAAAGCTGATCACATGACTCTTAATACTGGGCTTCAATCCATGTTCAAATCTCTTGCGCCTGTCCCTGCCTGTAACTAACATACTCCCAGCATAATAGCTCAACCGACAGCTACAGTCCTATGATCCTGTCTGAGCTACAGAAACTCCTCTATCCTGGCATCCACATAGGTAGATGGAACATACTTTTTCCTAAACTCTCCCAGGAAGTCTGGCCAAGTCAGAACTGTTGGCTGCACTCTGCTCCTAGGGACTGTCTTCCACCACTCATATGCATCTTCCCAAAGTAAAGAGACTGCATAATCGTACTTCTGAGCATCATTACACTAGAGCTTTAAGAAAACCCTATCAATCCTCTCTAGCCACTGCTCAGCTACCATCGGGTCAGTGGTGCCTAAAAACTCTGTGGCCCCATATTTAACCAACTAATCATACTGTCTAACTGGAAAACGCTGCTGCTGTAAGTTACCTGCCATTTGTCTCAATAGAGCAGCCATCTGCTGGGCTATAGGTTCAGCAGCTGGTGCAACAGGGACATCAAAACCCTCGGGAGCATCACCAATCTCTCCCTGCCTCGCATCAGACTGCTCCTCAGGAGGATTAAAATTATCTCCCTGACCAACACCCTCCATACTATCTATCAAAAATAAAACGCTCTCTGTATACTATCACAGAAAAACATTCATTTTATTAGAATAATGTATGATGTAGATATCAAACAATTAATAGTCATTTCATATTTGAGCAGATTACATTTCACATTTATATTCAGCAAAAATATGATCCAATATGCAATTAACCACGCTCTGATACCAAACTAAACATGTCACACATTACCTTACTGTAAGACATGGCATGTCGCCCGTACTGTAAGACATGGCATGTCGCCCGTAATATACTTAATAAGCACTTAATTCTTATAAATGTTTACTAAGTATACTACAAGGGACTTAAAACTTTTGATGTATTCATTTATAACCTGTAGAAAAGTAAATTTAGTTATTAAATGTAAAACTCCTTTTGGTTCTTTCACCTCTTATAAAGAAATGTCTTTTTCCATAATTTACTAGACATATGAAACATAACTTCTATTAAGCTCAACATGATTTCTTAAACATCAATTACATTATCAAGAACATAAAATGGTTCTATAAACCATAAGCCCATGGATGATTCAATTACATATTGGAGTCCTTTTCAAACATTAGATACATAAATTATGATACATATAGAAATTAAATTACTTTAATATAGAATATAAGCTTTCAAATTCATACAACATAATTTAACATGTATCTGCTCAAAAATATTAGATAATGTCTTGTTTAATGTTTAATACATCTATACATTCCCAAAAGAAGTCAAATATACAATAGCTACATCAGTAGCAATACTATCTATCGTCAAAGATAAAAACATCAAATAAAAACGATCCTCTCCTAGTTCTTTTTCCTTTCCTTTTCCTGCGATAGCACAAAAGCAACTATCGCTAAGCATTTTGCTTAGTGGTGTATTATTATAAAACAAACATAAATTTATCAAATCAAACTCTTTATAGGAAAATACTGAATCATAATTCATAAACCCACCATGTTAAAGGAAATAAGAAAAGAAAAAAAATACCATTTAAATCATAAATTCATAATGTAGTCTTTACAGCTTTTATAGAGTCAATTCCGAGCGCCATCATTGTCTAATGTGCACATCTAGACCTGCTATCTACAACTTCAACCTGTGATATGATTTCAATAGAAGAGGGAGCAATCTACAACCTCAACATGGAGGGAGAATTTCATATCAATCATATATATTTTTTATTTCCTTTAATCTTTCAAATTGATTTGTAATCACACTAATTACCATTTAATTAATATTAACATCCTCAATATATAGTGTTTTCCATTGTTCTAGGTTTTCCTTTTATCCGGATAACCGAATTCATCGAAAAAACTAGAATAGCAAGAACTATAAAGTTGAGGATATTACATGTTCAACTTCTGGTTCAGCCTGATTATCAAGCCCACTCCCCATACTATCAGGTGTCATTGGCTCAACATCCTCCTCTTTCAAGTATAAGAATAAGAATCATAAAATTCATTTACATATGTCATTAGGTCGTATGCTTTCAAAACAATCTTTTTCTTCTTTAAAAACTTATGAAATCACTAATATTATATATTTTTTTTATATAGTTATAATTCATAAAGCAAATCCATGGAAAATATTTTGCAAAATCAATTTCATTTTGTTTAAATAAAATTAGGAAAGGAATAGTACACTAACCTGAGCTAAAAG